AAATTATTTTCATCTCTGTGTCGTCAATTTTTTCATTTTTAAAATGGGGATCATATTACCTATCTAATACAATTCTTACAAAATGAATTTATTTAGCATAATAAATAATTACCAGTTATTGATTAAATTATGTAACATATTTTTGTTACTTATTATCATTATCACTATAAATCTGGAAATGTTCTGCTTCACGGAAACAGAAATAACCCAGGATAGTAAAAGAAAAAAAAATACTGAAAATAAAAACACTGCTAGAGGAATCTACCAAAACTCAAGTTATGTTGCAGAGCTATAGCAAATAGAGTATCATGACACTGCAACAAAACAGAAGAGAATTGAGGACCCTCACAGAAATACACACACTTTTAGCCACCTCATTTTTAGATCAAGAGGATAACAATACCCAGTGAGGACAAGACAGTATCTCGAGCAAACAGAGCTGTATAAATGGATAACATACATACAAGAATGCAACTTGACCCTTATGTTTCATCCCAAATTAACTCAGTTCAAAGTGTATGGTAGACCTCAACACAATTCTTGGTTCCCCAAATTTGATAGAAGATAAAAAAGGGAATAGGTTTGAATTCATTGGCACAAGAAAGAATTCTCTCAACAGTGTCTCAGTAGCACAGGAATTAAGACCAAAACTTAATGAACATATACCAATAAAATTAAAAAGGGTTTGTACAGCAAAGGGTTCTATCACTTGAGTGAAGATGCACCTTGCTCAATGAGTGGGGGGGGGGGAAGGGAGAATTTTACCAGCTATACAACTGACAAAGAGTTAATATCTAACAAATATTGAACTCAAAAATTAAACCTCAAGAAAACAAACATGGAGATTGTTGTAAACAGAGAATTATCAAAAAGTGAAATACAAACAACAAAGAAACACTTGTAGACATTTTCAATATCCTTAGCTGTGGGACCAATACAAATCAAAAGTAATTTGAGATATTGTCTCTCCTCAGTCAGAATTGCTAAGACTCCCAAACCAAATGAGAACATATGCTTGTATAGATGTGGAGAAAGGAAAGCATGTATTCAGTTTTAATAGAATTAGAAACTGGTCCAGTAACTATGGAAGTCCATGTGGAGGGTTTTCAAAAAGCTAAACATATATTTCACTCAGAAATATCTTCTATTATCCTACTTTTAGAATTGTTAAGAGGGGAGATGGATAATCAGGGAGACTGTTCTTTACCTATGGTAGCTGTCTTCAGCATGTGTCTCCTGGATTCAGTTCATGCCCTGGCTCATGCCTTTCAGAGAACAAACTTAGGTCTTTTGCAGCTGAAATGCATCAGACACTGGCTCTGAGACTTTATCATATCAAAGTAGAATTACAATACATAATAATTTGAGAGGAGTGTATAATTAACCAATCTCCAGAGTTTACCCTGCGAGCTGTGGTGAGTTCTAAATCAGTTCATTAAAACCACTTACATTTAAGTTTTCATTATGTTGTGTTTTGTTTCTTCCTGTTCACAGTGGTAGACCATGTCTACATAACACTTAATATTACTTGCCTTATTTTTAAAAATCAAGGGAAATCCCTAGTATTACATAAAGTATCCCATACAAATTGGTCACATTTCATCTTCAGAATAATGCTATGAGTCTGTGTGGTAGTGTAAAAGAAAATGCGCTCCCCCCAAAGGAAGTGACAGTATTTGAAGGCTTGGCCTTGTTAGACTATGCCTGGTCCTGTTGAAGGAAGTGTGTTACTGTGGAGGTGGTCTTTGAGGTCTCACATATGCTCAAGCCACACCCAGTGAGACAGTTTCACTTGCTGTTGCCTGCAAAATGTAGAATTCTCAGATCCTTCTTTAGCACCATGTCTGCCTGCATGCCACCAGGTCCTGTGATGACGATAATGGAGTAAACACCTGAACTGTAAGTCACCCAATTAAATACTTTCCTTCATAAAAGTTGTCATGGCAAGGGTGTCTTTTCACAGATATAGAAACACTAAATAAGATAGTCTGAAAGTAAGACTTACATAAAAAATATGTTTTTATTATGTAAGCTGAAAGTGGGAGAGATTAAGCAGCCTCATATTAACTAACAAGATGAAACTAGTGCTCATTACATCAGACCAATAATGTCTTTTCTGAGTTTCTATTTAAGTTACTTAAAGTAGCCAATTATTCAAGAATGGTTGTATTAATAGCAATAGAAGCAGTTTCATATTCAGCCTAAGAGTTTGCATAAAATACCTTTCAAGTAGTCTTGAAGTCTCCTTTAAATGCTAGATTTAAGTAAAACTCATGTCTGTTTCTTGTTTCTAAACCAACAATACCATGACCAACACTAAAAATAATAGAAGTAATAGAATCATCAAAAGATATTCAGAATTAATCATTATTTACATATTTGTAAGAAAAAGTACAAGTTGAATAACTTCACAGGTTATAATTTTACAAATCTGGCTTGATTCATATGAAATTTCTGGGGAAGATCATATAAGGGAGAAATGATAGAAAAGGCAGGTTATAGATAACCATGAATGAGAAAAAGCATCCTTAAATTTTTAATATGTCCTCTTCCTTGTGTCTTGTATTGATATAGAATGTCCTCGAAGAGCTGAGCAATTTTCAAATACACATACACATATAGATAAAAACACAGACTCATACATTAAACTACAAACGTAGTGATGGCTTTAACCCATAACTCCAATATGTTTTTCTGCATATAGCATTTTATATTTATAATAGGAATATTTAAGGGTAATACATTAGACATTATAATTGCACAAGAAAAAATGAAAAGAGATTCCAAAGAAATATTGATAAATGTTGGTCCTCCTGTAATCTGTGTCTAGTTGTGAATAAAAGATATCCATAATTCTTGAAATTTGGATTTTACATTTTTTGTAAGAATTAAAATGTTAAAGTGATCTTTCTGCCCAAGTTATGTGCTTTTTGAAAGAATTACAAAAATATGTGGACCAGAAGACACAGGCTGTTCTTCTAGACCTGGATTTGATTCCCACATAGTGACTTACAACCACCTGTAACTCCTGTCTCAAGGAACCTTTTATCTTTTTCTGGTATTAAGGCCCTGCACATATGTACACAGTATACATGCTGATAAAACATCCATACATGTAGAATTAAATTAGTTAATTATAGTTATTTTTAAAGAATAATAGAAGGGTCGACGTTTTGCTTGACAGGAAGAAACAGGAATCGCTACACCAAAACTCTGTACAACAAATGGTAAAAACAAGTGGTCAACAGTGAAAGATCTTAGATGACAATAGGAAATTATTACCTTTAATAGAAACCTTAGAAAATGCTCAGAGAAAGGAAAAAAACAGCATCAAAAATATTTCAGGTTTTTTAAATGAAGAAATACTTCATAAAATAGTAGTTGTTTTTTCCAATTAAAGGTTAGAAGAATTTGATAGTGGTCTGAAGACAGTGTAGTTTTGAATCTTTTGGAACTAAAGCTAAAGGTGGTTTTGAGCCACCATACAAGTACTGGGAACTAAACCCAGGCCCTCTAAAAGAGCAAAGTGTTCTAAACTAGTGAGCCATCTTTTTAAATCCTTTGTTGTTGTTGTTGTTTGTTTGATTGATTTTTGTTTTTTGAGACAGGACTTCCCTATATCTTTGGAGCCTGTCCTGGCACTTGCTCTGTAGACCAGTCTGACCTTGAACTCCTTGAGATCTGCCTGCCTCTGCCTCCAGAGTGCATGGATTAAAGGCATGCCTCCTCTATATTCTTCAAAGAAATTACTCAGTCTGTTTTCAGACACCAAGCCTAGACTTATAATTATAAAAATTCAGTGCAGTACAAGTGTAGATTTTTTTTCATGTTTACAGTCAGATTCACTAAATCAAAACTGGTGTCAATTTTATTTCTTTAGACAAACTTACTTCCATCTGCAGATGAGCTTTAATTTTTATTTTATTCAGATTTAAATGTCAAACAAAATATTAGAAAAAAGTTTTCAAGGGGGAAAGGAAGCAAACTGTGATCCTGCTCTCTTGATTCTGATAGTTATTAGGGGAACAAATACATTTCAACTCACTGTCAACTTCATGATCTCAAACAAAATTTCAGCATAATCTTAATTTTTTTATTTCCTGCTTTTAACCCCACAAATTTGTACTTTTTCTTGAAAATAAAAGTGTGAAGTCTCTTCTTTTTGTTTCCACATGGTCAGTGTTTTCTTGCCACTCCTATGTGGGTGTTACATACAGCTGGGGGCTTGCAGGTATCTTGAACAGCAGGCAAGAAGCTGGTTAGTATTTATGCTCTTCCAAGGGCTCTAAACAAAACTCATTTCTTTCCTTTAAAATGAAATTCTAGTAGAGCTCCACTGAGATTTTGCAGTTGCTCATAAATCTATTTAATTGAGTGATCCAAGGATTACTAGTTAGCAATCTGGAAAAACAGATTTCTACTTGTCTTTGTGTAGACTCTAGGGACATCTTTGGGAACTGTATCTTGTATAAGTGGAAATACCGCTATTTTTATTTGTAATTTCCTTATATACAATAAATTTTCCCCATCTCTTCAACTATATCTTTATATCCTAGGAAATTGATTTGACATCTGTGATAGTCACCAAATTGGTGAAATACAACAAAAATCACTGTTGCGTGACAGTGTCAATCTGTGTCCAATATTTGTCATTTCTTAATTTGATGTTAAGAAACATAAAAAATACCCACAGGAAACTTGCGTACACTGCAATCAGGAGAGTCTTTAGTAAGCTCATTTGCATCTCTAGTTTGTACTATTTTCTATAACTTACTAGTTTGAATTTTTAAAATGAGACACTTTGAATATATTTGTTAAATTGTCATTTACCCAGAATTGTAATGAATTACTAGATACATATTGTATAAATCTTGATTTTTTTTGTAAATGGGACAACTATAGAATGGCATGTGAAAAACTGTAAATTTTATTTTGTCTAAATGTTGTAAGACTCTGTAGAACGTAAGATATTTTATTAAATTTATGTTACTTTTCTCCAGAAATCAAAAATCTCAACGTATGACAAAATGTGGGCGTTTATGAGCAGCAGGAGACAGTCTGTGCTTGTCAAAAGCAATGAAGAAGGGATCCAGCGAGTCCTCACCTCTGATTATGCTTTCCTAATGGAGTCAACAACTATCGAGTTCGTTACCCAGCGTAACTGTAACCTCACACAGATTGGCGGCCTTATAGACTCCAAGGGTTATGGCGTTGGCACTCCCATGGGTAGGTTACCAGGCAGCCTCTATGTTTTTTCATTAATCTGAGTTGTTGTTTAAAGCGGAAAAGCAAGGACTCTACACAGTTCACAGAAAAATCTTTACCTAATACATCTTAACATGGTATTTATATTTCAGAAAGTTAAAAGTTTTGACATAAAACGAGCTGGGGAAGAGAAAAGAATATAATCAAAATATATTGTATGAATATTTTCACAAGTTGGATATCACTTCCAATTGAGCATATCAAAAGAAAAAATAATTTATATCAGATATCTGGCAGATAATTTCCTTTGTCTAGGTTGAAACATTTGCAACATGTTCATTTTAGAAATATTCAATTCTCAAATTTATAATTATTATTATTATTTTGATTTTTTTTTGAGAAATGATCTCAGTCTGTAGCCCAGGCCTACCTTAACCTTACTGTGTATGATATTGAGATTTTAAATTTACAGGCCATCCTCTTGCCTCAACCTTTCAAATGAACAAATGAGGGATATTGTAAATACAGATTTAAATCAAAACTTCATTGTACATGGCTCCATACTTTTTTGTTTAGTTTTATAGATGAATTAAAAATTGATAATTTTGTTTTGTTTCAAATTTGAAGCTTATAACATTATTAAAGTTAACTAAAAATGAAGGCTATGTTTGTTCCTACAAATATTGTTTCACTGAAAAGAATTAAAGCAGAATAATTAGCAGTGACATATCTATGATATTTGATACCAAGTATTATCTTCCTCTAACATTTCCCCAGTTATATGTGCTAAAATTAGTTTTAGTCATAATAATAAAGTGAAATAAAAATAATATAGGATGATATCATATTGCATACTTGTATTTTGAACCACTCCTGTGGCTGGATGGAGGATTGTTTGAGTCAAGCCTAGAATACTGCAAGATACTACCTCAAAATGAGAATGAGAATGATAATACCAATATCCTCAGGAAAAATCAATGGGAATTTCATAATGTGGGTGCCAATATTTACAAATATATATGTGCTTAATATTTAAATAAATAATTGCATTAAAGGATATATCATATCCTAGGTGTACCTGTAGTGGACAGAAATAAGGGTTCCTAAAATAGGCGGCTCATGCCTTGATAGTTAGAGCCTATAAATGAGTATCTTAGACAAAATTACACTGCACATGTAATTAAATTCAAGTTATTGAAATGGAAAAATTAGCCTTCTTAATCACATTGGTTTAAATATAATCCTAGTGCTATTGGGATAGGCAGACGGGGTCTGCAACTGTAACAGGAATATAAAATAGAAGAGGGAAAAGGGACAGAAAAGGGAGAAGAAAACATACAGTACACAGAGATAGAGTATCCCATGCTAGTGCTACTTCATTACATCATATAACATATTTGTGTGTTTGTTTGTCTTTCATTTAATGTAAGTGAGTTCTTAACTTTAGTGAGTTCTATCTTATTCAAAATTAAGAAGATTTATCAAAATATTTTCCAATCAAACACATCAGGAATGAACTTCAATTCTCTCATAACCTTCACCAGAGAAGTTTGATACAAACAGGCAACTCACACTTACCCCCTTTTATTTTATTTAATTATTTTTAAGTTGCTTTATAGATTTATTGAGCTATATATTTTTCTCTGCTTTCCTCCCTTCCTCTCCCATCCACTTCAACCCTCTCCCATGGGCCCCATGCTTCTAATTTACTCAGGAGATTTTGTCCGTTTCTACTTTCCTTGTAGATTAGATCCATGTATGTCTCTCTTATGGTCCTCATTATTGTCTGGGATTGTAACTTTTAGGCTGATTTTTCTTTGCTTTATGTCTAAAAACCACTTATGAATGAGTCTATATGATATTTGTCTTTCTGGGCCAGAGTTATCTCACTTGATATAATGTTTTCATTTCAATGCCTGCAAATTTCAAGATGTCATTATTTTTTTTCCACTGTGTAGTACTCCATTGTGTAAATGTACCACATTTTCCACATCCATTTTTTGATTGAGGGGCATTTAGGTTGTCTCCAGGTTCTGGCTATAACAAACAATGCTGTTATGAACATAGTTTAGCACATGTCCTTGTGGTACGATTGTGCATCTTTTGGGTATATACTCAAAAGTGATATTGCTGGTTTGTAGTGAAGAGCAGCGGGCTGTGTCTGGCCACCCAGCTAGCTTTACACCTGAAATAATTACACGGAAACTGTTTTCTTTGAAACACTGCCTGGCCCGTTATCTGTAGCCTCTTCTTGGCTAACTCTCATATCTTGCTTTAACCCATATCTAGTAATCTGTGTATCACCACAGGGTTGTGGCTTACCTGGAAGATTCTAACCTGCATCTATCTGTCTTGGGTCGGAGAATCATGGGGACTGCCTGAATCTGTTTCTTTCTCCCAGCATTCTGTTCTGTCTTCCCCGCCTACCTATGTTCTGACCTATCAGGCCAAGCAGTTTTCTTTATTAATTAACCAATGAAAGCAACATATAGATAGAAGACCCACCCACATCTCTGGTTCTTGAGGTAGATTGTTTTCTAAATTTCTGAGAAATTGCCATGCTGATATCCAAAGGTGCTGTACCAGTTTGCAGTCCTATCAACAATGGAGAAGTGTTCCCTTTACCCCATATCCTCTCCAGCACAAGTTGTCATCAGTGTTTTTGATTTTGGCCATTCTTACAGGTGTAAGACGGAATCTCAGAGTTGTTTTAACCTGCATTTCTCTGATGACTAGGGATGTTGAGCATTTTCTTAAGTGTCTTTCAGCCATTTTAGATTCTTCTGTTTGGAGTTCTCTGTTTAGGTCTATACAACATTTTTTTATTTAATTATTTCTTTTATATGGTGACTAATTCCTTGAGTTCTTTGTATATTTTGGAGATCAACCTTCTTTCTGATATGGGGTGGACAAAGATCTTTTCCCATTCTGTAGGCTGCCGTTTTGTCTTGTTGACCCTGTCCTTTACTTTACCAAAGCTTCTGTGTCCTATAATTCAACATTTTTTTGACCAATGAGTCTATTTCCTTTATTGTATCTTCAGCATTTGAGATTCTCTCTTTTGTCTCTTGTATCCTGCTGTTTTTTCATGCATTTGTGGTTCCTGATCATTTTTTCATAATTTTCTTTTGTATAATTTCCTCGGTTTGTGTTCCCTTTATTGTCTCTATTTTTAGATTTCAAGTCTTGAATCATTTATTTCATCTGTCTTATTGTTTCTTTCTTTAAGGAATTTGTTGATTTCTTCCAATATTTTGTTTGTCTTTTCATCCATTTCTCTGAAGGAATTTTTCATGTCTTCTTTAAGAGTTTCAAACACTTTAGCAAAAATTATTTTTAGGTCATTTTTTTCTGTTTTATCTATATTTTGTTGTTCCAGTTTTGTTGTTGTAGGGGCACTAGTTTTTTTTTTATTGGTGTCGTGTTGCTCTTTGTGGTGTTGAGTGTGTTCTTACCTTGTCTAGCCATCTTTTCCTCTAATTGGTGTAGTTGGGGCTGTGTCACTGATGATTAGTCAGTCTTACAGGTTCCAGTGAATCCAAGGCTCAGATGGTTTCTCCCCATGGTGCAGTCAGGGCCATGGTTCCAGTCAACCAGGAAGTTACTCTGTGTCCCTGTAGGTTGCTCAGCATTCCCAGGGTCGTTCTGCAATACTAGAAGTTGTTAGGGTCTTTTCCCCTGGAGGGTGCTTTCTTGGTTCTGCTCTGGTAGAGGTCGCTGGCTCAGGCCTGCTCTGGTGGAGGTACTGGTCTTGGACCTGATCTAATAAAGGTCATTGATCCATACACCCAGTCCTGCAGAGCTCTCTAGCTTAATCCTATTGCCTCAGTGGTGGCTTCCTTGTACTTGCTTCTGTGGAGGTAGTTGCCTCTGGCCTGCTCCAGTGGAGGTCGGTGACTCAAGCCTCCTCCTGTGGAGGTCACTGGCTTGGGCCTGTTCCTGCAGAGGTCTCTGGCTCAGGCCTTCTCTCTCAGTGTTTGTTCCCTTTATAGTTACCTCTTAAGACATTTGACTCTGTAGGAAAATATTCCAGGCAGGAATTTATGACTTACTATTTTACACCTTGGCAAGAAGTATGATTTCGTGTATTGTTTTACTTGTTCATTATTAATAAACACAATGACACACAACTATACTTGAAAAAAATAACCTTTCATTCAGAACCATATACACAATTCTGAAATAGGTAGCATTTCGTTCCTTATCATGATCAATCATAATGAAGACTATTATTCTGTTATTATTGAATTTACTCAGTGTAATTCTTATTTACCCACAAGCTAACAGAAGAAAAATTTTAAAGAATATATTAAGGTGTGAAATAATTACACATTAGGCTTTTTCTCTTTTTCCCAGAGAGATAGAGATAAATCCAGGGAAAGGAATATAATGCATGCTTTGGTTTTGAAAAATTTAGAGCACCTACAGAATTTCCCTACGGTCCGATTTTATGACTTTAATAACTGCAACCTTCAAAGACAGCATTGAATTCAAGTGTAATCAGAGGAAGGAGCCTTCTTTTTTCTTTTTCTTTCTTTTTTTTTTTAACTTTCATTCAGTTTTTTTTTCTTTAGACATTGTCTTTTGCTTATATGTGTCTGGGAAGTAAATTAATGAATAAAGTAGTATAATTGTTATTGACATGAGAAATCTGAAACAACTCTGAGAAATGAGACTGTACCTGCCGCTGATTTGTGTGTGTGTGTGTGTGTGTGTGTGTGTGTGTGTTTTACAGAGATGGTAGTCTGTCTGCCAGGCTCCTCCTCCATGCTTTATATGTGACTTCCTGTTGCATCCATCACTCTTATTGTGATAACTGCCTAAACTGTGCTGTGAACATGCTGAGTGGCTCAAAGAGAAGCTATTTAACTAGGGCAGCTCTGTTTACACAAATACCTTGGTAGAGACATGCAGGCAAATGCTAAATAATCACAAGCTGGTTTAATTAAGTGTGTGGTGGTGTTAAATCCCTTTCGCAGTTTCCCTGATAGCAGCAATATTATTCTAATGTGGCATTTACT